GGGAGGGAGGGAGGAAGGAAGGAAGGAAGGAAGGAGAGAAAAACTTCCAAATGACTCAGCTGTGGGGTACAAAGGAATCTAAAACTACCTTTTTTCATAAAGAATCTTAATCCAATTGGAGGTGGGCTGTGTAATGTGTCCAGGAGTCATGCACCCTGTATCACTGGGTTCCCAACTCAAGAAATAGCAATAATCCTAAAGTCAGGACAACTTTTTTTGCACCAAAACACTCAGCAACCTGTTGATTCTCTGGTGACAAAGATGAATAAATCAAAGAAAATTCAGGCAAAAAAGCTTAAACTCTAATGCTGGACTGTCTGAAAGTGAAAGGAGTGGAGTCTCCCTCCACGATCCTAGCTTAAGTGCCCTAAATTATCAGTTCATTTGTAAAATGGGAGTAACTGGAGCCTGGGGCAGTTCAATTCACATGCCTGGGAAAGGCAGGGCACTGTATACAACAGGCAGGGCTTACACCAGTTACTTTTTGCTTTGTTTTTTGAAACAGGGTTTCTTTGTGTAAGTCCTGATTGTTCTCGAACTTGCTCTATAGACCAGGCTGACCTTGAACTGGGACTAGAGGCGTGCACCACCACTGCCCGGCTACATTCTCCCTTCTTAACGACACGTTTGTGTGTGCACACTCATTCTCAATATGGTATTTGTGTGGAGTCAAAGACCAGCCAACAGCAATTGGTTCTCTCCTGCCACTATGTGATTTCCGGGAATTAATCCAGTCGGTCAGGTTTAGTAGACATCTTTTCACACTGAGCCATCTCAACTGGCATTGTACCTTTAAATGGAACATTTGTTTATCCCGAGATAATTATTTGTCTATGTATTTTTCAGCTTTGTTGGTTTTGTGACACAGTAAAAGGAAACTAAGCGTGAACTATCTTTAATACAGAATATTCTGTTTTAGGCAGGTGTGTGGTGCAGTTCTATAATCCCAGCACCCTAAAGGTGGAGGCAGGTGTGTCAGGAGTTCAAGATCATCCGAGGTTACATGGCCAGTTCCAGGCCAGCCAACAGACTCTCAAAAAACAAAAACATACAATTTCTATAAGACAACAGACTCATATCTTTTAAAATATTTTTATTAAATGATCTACTTGGAGAATAATTACAAAAGCTTTATGCAGTAATTCCAAGTAGTGAAAGGCATTTTCGTTTAAAAAACAAACCAAAAAATATCCTTATGATTTGCTGCTTTATACACAGGAATGATTTATTTTACAGTCATTTGTAACATCAACCTATAAAATTCAAAATGTTTCTTAATGTCTGAAATGCAGAGTGAGGTCCACAATGATATGCTTTCACACAAAGCTGCCTACTAACAGGCTAAACTGAAGTCTATAACAATTCCACACAGAATTTACAAGACAGGCACTCTGAATCAGATACTGGGAATCTTTCACAGTTAATGTTGCTTTTTTGAAGCTCATCTCATCAGAGGTAACCGACTAGTGAGTGATGCCAGGGTTTCCTGGTTCAGAAGTACAAACAGGTTTGGTTCCAAACACTTCAGTTGTAATACATGCAAGACATGCCCTAAGTAAGAAGGATCTTCTGAAAGAAAATGAAGAAAACCAAAAAAGCAGCCCGGAATAAAAGCTTTTACGAGCATCTGAACAAGGCCTTTAAATCAGTGTTTTAAACCCCTTCATTCTCAGGTAAGGGATTAAGAGGCCGAGAGCGGTCCCCTCGGCGAGGGTGAGGATACTGGAGGGAGGAG